GCCATAATAATGGCAAATGAATAAAATAGTATGTTATAATTATTCATAACTCGACCGCAATATTTATATTCTGTCATATCAAGTAGCTCTCCGACTATTAACGAAGCAAACGCAAAGCCTAACGAGCCAAACAGTCTGGTTTTTCCATAATGTCTTCGTTTTTCTCCTAGTTTTTGCAGTAGTCCCGTGTCGGCCATGATAAATGTTGGAGCTTCAAGAAATTCTCCTCCAACAACCAGTATTAGAAGATAAATATAAACGCGGTAAATTTCTTTCTGGTCAAAGATGAGTTTGAATTTCTTGGAACTAGAAACTTCATATTCAGAAAGTTGTCTAGAGCTGCCGTGTATGAAAAATGTTCGAAAAGGAGCATTTCCAATGAGTGAGGGCAATTTCTCTTTGACCTTTCTCGGGTTTCTTTGGTGATCAATATCCACACTGATAACGTTATCAATTTGCAGGTCGACACCGCCGCGTCGTGAATGTCTCCCAGTAAATATCGATACATTTTCGTTTGAATTTTCCATCAAATTTTTACAGTACGTGTTGTAAGGTTTAGGAATCAACAACGCCAGAGTCATGACCAACCATGACAAAATAGAAAACAACAAAACGGCCTTCCTTGCTTTATATCTGTCAGCTAACATTGCCCAGAATGGTCCACTTATAAATTGTATCATGGGCCTTATTCCGGCCAAAATTCCAACTGAACTGGCATTAAGGCCAATTTGCTTGAAATATAACGCCATGTATGGAAAAGAAGCCCCAAATCCAGCGAAAAAAAGGAAATAAAATCCTTTGTAAAGCAACAGCGCCCTATCCACTTGTAATTCTTCACAAAGCAAATCTCTGAAAGACGTTTCTTGCTTGTTAGGTGTATTTTCGAGGGATTTGCTCTTGTCATTTTCCTTCCCAAAATCATCCTGGTCTGTCATTGTTTTAGCACCAAACAGGATAAAACAAAATTGGATTTTCAGTCATTTAAGAGTGACTGAAGTAGTTTTGCATTTGAAGGTGTCTGTCATTTTGGCTTTATGTCATTGGCGTACATTGTTAAGTAGACCAAATGACATACCTGTCAAAAACCACCCTTAATCCACCAGCACATGAGAAGGGGTGGCTCAGCGGCAGATTATAAAAACAATGTGCCATAATTTGCCAGTAGGCCAGAAAACTTTTTTAGGGCTTCAAAAATTTGTGTAAGTAAGTGTAAAAGTAACCTAGTCTATGTGAAACCAATCACGATGCAGAGTGTGGTCAACGGACGACCAGACATAACCGTGCTACCCTGTCTACTTGGCACTATTGAGCGACAGAAGGCACCGGTATCTGTGTGAAGCTTTATGGCATAGTTAATAAACATGTCAAAAAATCAGAAATTAATCTTAAATCCAGAACTGCCTGAGTCAAATTTTTCTTACCATGTGCAGTGAAATAAGTTAAGGAAACAGAATTTAAAGCAAGAGTATTCACCCCTTTTGCCAGAATGACAACTGGTCGTAAATCTGTAAATTTAGTCATTTTCCTAGACGTAAATGAAAGGTTCGGGAAAAGATTAATTAAAATGAATTATTGCTTATATATGATTAAGAACTTAAGTTTCAATGTTGAATTTAAAACTTGTAAATAACACACACAGGGAAGATGAGCTGTGACTTTTTATGATGGATATGAAAAAGGATATTTATTTTGTCAAACTATTTTATTTGCATAGAATGTTGTGCGTTTAACTCTCTCAGTAGTGGACACCTTTCAGTACCGGATCAAGACCTCGAGATAAGAGGGGGGGGGGTCATCCAGACCCTTAAATAAGGGGGGGGGGCGGCGTCCCAGTTGTCAATATTTTGCCATTGCATAAATAAACTTCTGATATATATGGCAAATGGGTTCAAGCTTTTGGCTCAACGACTTCTGGGATTGTTTCGGCGAACAATAAAACCACTGACTGGTAAATGGTTGCCCTTGGATACCATCCACCAATCATAACTAACGCTTGTCCACCTAAAAGATCCCGAGAAATCATTGCGTCTAACCTGACTTACACTCATTCTCCTTGTAGTTTATGGAGAGGCAAATTAATTAGTGGCGTGCAATTGCAAGCGCGTACTTTATTGAAGTTAAAATAAAGGTATTATGAAGCTTTATAATAAATGCTTCGCTCGTCAATGGATCATTTTCCTAAACGACTGAACGTGCACTCTAACGGGAACGCACCTGGTTTGAATTTTCAAAATCAAAATCCAGTGGTCAGTTTTATAAGACTTTTACGAGTGCAATTAACGAGTGTAGAAATTGTTTTCAGACTCGAAAATAATAGAAGCACTCGTGAAAGTTTTTTAAATTGACTGCAGATTTAATCGAACAAAAGACTTATTCCCGAAACCCATGCAGAAATTATCCTTTTAATTAACAGATTCAGTTCCAGGGTACTACATTAAAATAACTCAAAGGATAGCCTCCCACTCACAGACGCGGATGACGAAGCCCTAAGAACGTCTGCGTGGTAGGCTACTCAATGGCAGATGCCCTTACGTCAGTAACAACAGACAAAAGAAGTGAGCCTATGATAAGAGCAAAATAGTTCAGTTCTAGCAAGCCTTAGACCCAGCCTAGATTCTCGGCGTTTTCTATCGGGCTCTTGATTATTCGGATAGAAAGTGTGCTTTTGAAACGTCCATCTTGATCTTGAGACTGTGGAAAGTTCACCCAGGTTGATTCGCCTCACGTAGAACCTACGCCTGTACAGTAAATGAGAAAGAAGCCCTCTTCTGTGTTTCAATTACCCACCCAAACAGAGGCAGAAATATCGTATGAACTATTACCAGTTTATTCCTTCTTGTCCAATTGGAAAATCTAAAATGCAGGTTAAGTTCTTGTTTTTTATTAACGTTTTAAAATTTGGTGGAAATGACCGGTGTAACCTGTAAAATGAACAACAAGTTAGTCAGCTGCACTTGGAAAAGAAATCAATCATTCAATCTCTTCTTCAATCTTTTTTTCAATCTTTTTCCTGCCTCTTCACCACGACTCATTAACACTGTGAACTAGACTTAAAACTTAACACGCCAGATGAGACTGAATGAAAAAGACGGCATGAAATTGCTTGAAGAAAGGGGGCTTTCGGAACGATGTAAGGTACACCCGGTCTTGTTTTGTTGAGCGATCTCTCGTGACCCGCAGAAGTAAACCACCGGCTATTTTCCCGCCACCTGCATGTGGAAGGCCCGTATGTCAGCTATCACTGGTTTTGTTCGAGCGCTCGATATTTGCACTGATCTCATAGAAAATTACGGAAAGCGTTGCGTAACGCCTTTATAAATTGGAAAGACTGGGTCTAATTAAGATCCACAGACGCGAAAAAAATGGCAGCGAAACGTATGAAGAATGATCGAGGCCGGATCGAATTCGCGGAACAAATGTGTACGACGTATAGCCACTCTACACTTAAGAAAATTATCGCTCAAAGCGATGTTCATCTTGCGAGAATCGACAAACCCCTTCTTGTGTTTAAAGTATTCTATTTCTTCCTCTTTGGATCAATCGCCACGGCCTTCCCGTTTTTACCTTCGTATTTTGGACAGATTGGTTTCTCATCGTCTCAAATCCAAGCTCTTGCTTGGGTAAGACCGGTCGTGCGACTTTTGTCCAGTCCAGTTTGGGGAATTTTGGCGGACCGCTGCTTGCCCAAGAAAATGATGCTTCAGTTTTGCACATTCGTCTGGCTCATAGGGACTATTTCATTAGCTTTTGTCGAGCCCACTAGTCAGATGTGCCAACTTATTTCCCTCAACGACACAGGTTTGAAAATTATCAATTCTACAGAGATGCAAACCGGATTTTTTCGGCGGAGAAGAACGGCTGAGTTCTTCGAGATGCGGTCCAAGCTGATTCCTAAAGTACATAAAGTAAATTTGACTTCTGGTGGCTCAGAGAGTGTGGACGTTTCGTTCGGGTCGGGCACAGACACTGCAGCAGTGTCACAGGAAAACGAAGCATCTGGAAGTGGACTTATTATCGATTCTTTGCATCCCAACAAAAGAATGGACGAATTTAATAATACTGATGCAAATAAGACTCACGACTTCATAAAAATTTTATCTCCCCATCATAAATCAAGTTCTAATGACACGCCCAATCCCAACGAGTTTAACTTCGCCATACGAAACGAACTCAGAGAAAATACCTCTAGGTTATATCAAATATTTCTTGGGGCCATAGCGATCGTCGTGTTTGAAGAGATCTTCATGTGCCCAGTGATGTTTGTTGCTGACGCAGTTTTACTGGCCAAACAGACAGAAGAGGGTTCTCTTGTTGTATATGGATATCAACGGGTTTTTGGCTCTATCGGCTTTCTGATATTCTTTTTAATCACTGGATCTTTAGTGAATGATTCATTTCGCCCGGTCTGTGGACATATGTATGCGGACTATGTCATTAACTTCTGCTTTTACTGTGTTTTAACAATAATTACGTTGTTGGTGTTGATCAAGTTCGAAGGACCACCAAGAAATCCGGACGGTTCTCCGTGCGAGATTCTTAAAACTGTTTTTCATAATAAACACTACGGATCTTTCTTTGCTTCTGTGGCATTTTTGGGTTTTTCACATATCGTGATTTCGAATTTTCATACCACATATCTCATGGAAAGTAATATTGGACACTCGTCATCTGCTACAATAAATGCCTTCCGTCTGCTAGGCGAGCCATTAGCCTTCTTTGTCAGCCATAAACTAATAGCACATATCGGGGATATAAACATGATGTTCGCTTCACTCGCATTGAACATGTTTAATCATTTCGCGTGCTCATTTGTCACCAGTCCCTGGCATGTGATTCCACTCGGCTTCCTTGAAGGCTTCACCTTTGGATGTTCGTTTTTGGCATGCGTCACTTATCTGGCGAAATCATCTCCGGTTGATTATATCACAACTGTACAAGGTAATGAGCTTTGCCCTTATGGCAATTAATATGTTTTTTTTTTAGAGATAAAAGAGATATCAGAGCTCTTTACCACAGCCTTAATGAAACATTTTAGGTCTTTGCAGCACAAATGCTCCTAAATGGTCTTGGTACCGACAATAGGAAGGATCCTTTCGCCAATTTCTTTAACAATAATCTCTTTACCAGTTGTTTGTAACTGTTTGGTATATTGGTCAGTTGTTAGATTTTCGTTATAAAATCTAGTTTGTGCGTTCTTTGTTATTTTCTTCACAAACCTCGATCAGGTTTTGTGATAACACTTATGCCAAAGGCAATGTACACGTTAGCCTCGTACGATCGACGGTAAGTTTGTGAATTTCAAAGGTCTGGTAGAGCCTCTCTTTATGCCTTTCTATAGACACAGTTTTAGAGAACTGTTGCATTATTCAATGATCTCGGTGGTAGCTTAAGGTGCAGAGGCCTAGGTCCTTTACCAAAGTCAAACAAATTTAAGCGATTCGTGGATCATCCTTGGTGTAAAATGCCTGGACCAGTGCCTTTGAACCGAAGCTATACTTGGTCTTGTAAGAATGGAATCCATGTTCCTCTGACTACTCTGACTATAGCTACCTGGGCGGAACATGTCGGAAGATTTTAGGACACATGTATGTCAAAAGCCAGACTGACACTTTTTGTGAAATCCCTAAAGCTGGAAAAACAACTTTCCACGGCCAGCATTTCAACAAGAGGCAGAATGCTTCAGACCGTGGTTGATGACCCTCATTTTCTGGAAGGCAAGCAGCAGATGCGTGACTCTGAAAGGAATAGAGCTGCATTATGCCGATGTAAAGGAGAAAAACAAGCGATAAAAAGAAAGAGCAAGCATCACCAGATTCAGCCTTCTCCCCTCCGTTGTACCAAAGAATTTGAGCTTGACGCCTCTGCGTCCAAAGCCGCCGGCCAGACCTGTTAATCTCTCATTCTCCTTATTCCCTTGCTACATGCATCAGGTAGCCTCAGTACTTAGCAAGTTGCTAGGTTTAGGTTGTGATCTGGTCAGTCAGTGAAAATTGCAATAGGCCTCTAAAGCGACCAGAGGACCAATAGCTGCTTAGAATCCTGCAGCTGACTTCTGCAAAGAGGGTAAACCAAACGAGGGCACCAAATTTGGATTTGCCCACATCTAAGTCTCCTAGAAAAATGCTCTACTGCAACCAGAGTCACTCGCACACAGTATAAGGAAGTTTTACATTTGTCAAAGAAGGGTAGCAAAAAAAACTATTGTATAATGAGAGTCGTGGAACCAAAGAGTTTTAAAACTAGCACATTACATTTTGATTGACATGGAGCCGATCGTGTGAGAAATGCATGGATGGACGATCATGATTACGTCCGCAGATAGGCTGTACCCTGAGATTTGTCGTGCACTATTCCTAGCTAGCCATGCAGGTGGAAATGACCGGTGTAACCTGTAAAATGAACAACAAGTTAGTCAGCTGCACTTGGAAAAGAAATCAATCATTCAATCTCTTCTTCAATCTTTTTTTCAATCTTTTTCCTGCCTCTTCACCACGACTCATTAACACTGTGAACTAGACTTAAAACTTAACACGCCAGATGAGACTGAATGAAAAAGACGGCATGAAATTGCTTGAAGAAAGGGGGCTTTCGGAACGATGTAAGGTACACCCGGTCTTGTTTTGTTGAGCGATCTCTCGTGACCCGCAGAAGTAAACCACCGGCTATTTTCCCGCCACCTGCATGTGGAAGGCCCGTATGTCAGCTATCACTGGTTTTGTTCGAGCGCTCGATATTTGCACTGATCTCATAGAAAATTACGGAAAGCGTTGCGTAACGCCTTTATAAATTGGAAAGACTGGGTCTAATTAAGATCCACAGACGCGAAAAAAATGGCAGCGAAACGTATGAAGAATGATCGAGGCCGGATCGAATTCGCGGAACAAATGTGTACGACGTATAGCCACTCTACACTTAAGAAAATTATCGCTCAAAGCGATGTTCATCTTGCGAGAATCGACAAACCCCTTCTTGTGTTTAAAGTATTTTATTTCTTCCTCTTTGGATCAATCGCCACGGCCTTCCCGTTTTTACCTTCGTATTTTGGACAGATTGGTTTCTCATCGTCTCAAATCCAAGCTCTTGCTTGGGTAAGACCGGTCGTACGACTTTTGTCCAGTCCAGTTTGGGGAATTTTGGCGGACCGCTGCTTGCCCAAGAAAATGATGCTTCAGTTTTGCACATTCGTCTGGCTCATAGGGACTATTTCATTAGCTTTTGTCGAGCCCACTAGTCAGATGTGCCAACTTATTTCCCTCAACGACACAGATTTGAAAGTTATCAATTCTACAGAGATGCAAACCGGATTTTTTCGGCGGAGAAGAACGGCTGATTTCTTCAATATACAGTCAAAGCTGATTCCTAAAGTACACAAAGTAAATTTGACTTCTGGTGGCTCAGAGAGTGTGGACGTTTCGTTCGGGTCGGGCACAGACACTGCAGCAGTGTCACAGGAAAACGAAGCATCTGGAAGTGGACTTATTATCGATTCTTTGCATCCCAACAAAAGAATGGACGAACTTAATAATACTGATACAAATAAGACTCACGACTTCATAAAAATTTTATCTCCCCATCATAAATCAAGCTCTAATGACACGCCCAATCCCAACGAGTTTAACTTCACCATACGAAACGAACTCAGAGAAAATACCTCTAGGTTATATCAAATATTTCTTGGGGCCATAGCGATCGTCGTGTTTGAAGAGATCTTCATGTGCCCAGTGATGTTTGTTGCTGACGCAGTTTTACTGGCCAAACAGACACCGAACTACATTTATATCTCGATTGAATGAAGACTCTGGCAGTTGCACCGATAATGACCGTAAAAATATAGGAACGTTTCAAATACCGGTCGTCTACTGTTTTGTATTTAATGCTTGAGAAACCTCCACCCCCAAAAAGTCAGTACCAATTTTCTTCCACAGAAGTTCGAAAACAACGTTAATTTTCTTGATTCGCTACCAACGTTAAACAAAAAACTCTATGGTCAGTATTTTTTTTTGTCTTATTAGAAGGCATTTTAGATTTTAGAATCTCTCGGTTGAGAACTGAAGAAGTTTCATATTTCAGTTTTTTGACACTTTTCATGACTGGTAATGCATGACTCTGACTTGTACAATCGGGTTGTGTTTGGGCAGTCACCCCAAAGAATTAATAAAATTACTGCCTTATTTTTAATTTAGGCATTTCAGAGTGTGCTATTTCATTAAGGCAGAGAAGCTTGAAATAAGAAAGCTCAAAATGATTGACAGAGTTAATACATTCTAAAGTATATTCTTTTGATTTTGAATATTTGTTCAATCAAGCCACAGCCTTGTTTGTGGGACGATTATGTATAATCGCATAATTTAATGAGTTTTTTTAGAAAACTTAAGTATAAGATGTTGTTTCCCTGTAGCGTCAATGAACTGATTGACTTAGACACCAGATAAACGCAGTTTGCGCAAAGCGAGAGTGTTCCAATGCAATGAAATACTGAAATAACTTTTGTGATATTTGCCTTGTACTCTTAGAGAATGCGAACAGCCTTCTTTCACAGTAACAGTAAAATAGCTCAGTTTAAAGATCTCCCTGACTTGTGAGAGTTGTTCCCGCCCAGTTTTCTTTTTCTCTCATGTTCTCGGGATAGTTCTGCACAAGCCAATTATTTAAGGAAGTCGTTTAAAAGAAAAATATGAGTATAACACACCTGTTTATGTGCAAAGTGAAGCACCTAATTTACCGCAAATATGGAATTCCCTCTCGCCACAAGGGAAACTGAGCCAGGCGGCAAACGGACGTATTGTCGAATTGTCTAGAATTGTCCTGCAGAGGCGACTCAATTTAACTCATCCAAAGTTTCCTTTACTAACATCATAGCAATCAGAGATTAGTATTATCATTTATGATCAAGAGTATGGTTCCCTTGATTATTGCAGTTAAAGCTGACTCGTGAGCGGACACCCTTGGGAGACTGGCGAAAAAGGTGTCTCGGTAACTAGAGCTGACCGCTTACGGGACCGTAAAAATACAGAGTTTGTATGCGGGAGTTGAGAAAAACGGAGTTTTGTGAAGGTGGCCGTAAGAACAGCTGTCCGCTTACGAGAGCGTCCGATAGGAGAGGTTTCAATTAGTTGCAGCCATGCAATAAATATTCTCTCGTTGTTTTGTCTTAGAGGTGACCTACACTTTCTTTTTTACTCACCCGGCACGACTTTTTGCTTACCTTATGACACGGGAGCATGTGCTAAGAGCATTTAACTCTTTCTGTTACAGAACATCAAATACTGCAGGTTTTATGTCTCTAGCTAGATGTAATTACCTATGAATTACATGGAAGTAATCTGGTTTAAATGTAATTCACTTCTGGTGGGTGATTCACTAAATATGCCTCAAAATTTGAATACCTTTGTTTAAAAAGGTGAAATGCTTAAGCCTTTTTATGAATCTGCACTCAAGCGAAAACTGGCATTACAGTAAACGGTAGGGTTTTCTTTTTAATTCGACATTAGATTACTACATTAGCAATGTCTGCTTGCCAATGAATAAATGATTTTTGAAGAAGAAACGAGCCTATACGCGGCCGTATTATTCAGGACTCGATTGCATAAACTGAGGTATCAGTGATTAAGGGAAAATCTATTAGAAGATTACTTTTTAAAAGGGCGGATAAAGTGATCAATATATAACAATGCAACTCCCAGCTTTGATGCAAGTGAATTAATATAATGGGTCTCTTACTTCATTTCCCCTGAGAGGATAGTCTGTCTAGGGTTTCAGATATTGAGTGCTGGTGAATAGAGCCGGGAAAAAATGGTTTGAAAAGGAAAACATATGATTTTTAAATTTCTATGAGTCCAAATTACTATTTAAAAAAAAAGCTTCAAATTTCTCAGGTGAACCAAACATGCAAATGCCGAAACTCTGAGACCAAAAAAGCAATCAGGAAACATTTACGAAACGCTTAGCTGTCGGCTTGAGGTTTAATAATTAGACATTCTAGATAGCTCCGAACAGAAAACGGTCGTTCGTTGTCACTGAAATGATGCGAGACAATTCACCGCGGTCAAAGAGAGAAATTGTAAAAACTATGCAAAGTACTTCAAAACGAAAGGTTTTACTTTCACTATTCAATGTATGATTACTTTTTTAAAACTTTTGAACGTTTACAGAAACATTTCTCTAAGAGTTTGAAAACTGAAACTGGCTTTATTACCGGAGCCATTTGTCAAACGAATATTACTCGAGAGCGTAGACGTTTTCAACGAACAAAAGCTTATTATTTGGAGAAAATGCAAAGATAGATAAATTACTGTAATTTTTTATCCATCTTTGTTCATGTTTCCACTGATGGTAAGTCCCTGGTAAGGGAAATTCCAGTAAATAAAACAAAAAGATGTTAAAGTGACATTTTGGTTGAATTTATTTACAGTACACAGCCTCATCATCTCCATGCACCCTGCAAGCAGAGGCTTTCCGTGTTCGTGACTCGAGAGACACTCTGCATAATTCGAATAAGATCTTTGTTGAGCATGCGCTGCATGTTGCTAGGATACAGTTTGGAACCCAGGCCTAATAGCCAGGCGCCTGCCACAGCGGGTTCGGTTATGACCACCGGTTTATCAGTAAACAGAGGCTTGCACCCGAAAAAAACTTGTTTGACGAGAGAGAACAAGATTGACTAGTCCAGACGTTTGGGCTGCGGCGACCTCAAAGATTTCACGTGATCCTTTTCTCCTTCTCACTCAAGAAGACAGAAAAAGGCTCTGCTCGCAGGGTGCATTATCTCCTGTTAATATGCAAGGTTGCCTTTGCTACTTTTTAAAATTATGACGACCTTCAAATCTTGCTTTTCAGCAAAAACAAAAAGCAATGCAGCCAATTGGCGCAAGCATAAAGGAAGACCACAAGTTCTTATTTCCTTGATTTGTATGAATGTTTTCAATTTTTTAAAAAAGTATTTTTACTTGCTACTCTTAACCATTGGCCTTTAGCAAGAGAGAAAGATCTAGCTCATTCTCTCTTGCCTTTAGTATTCTTCGTCTTCTTCTTCTTGGTATCATTATCATTATTATTATCATTATATTAATTATTATCTATTACTATTATTAATATTATATTTATCATTATCATTGTTATTATTTAAATTTATCATTATTATTATTATTGAATTTCGGGAAAACAATGAAGTCTTCTTTACCTTTGCTGTTTTGACTGTGCTATTAATGAAAGCTCTTTCAGCTGTCTGTTTAGCCTCCTAGCCTGGTGGCACAGAGAGGGAATCATAGGGCCTTCACCTGGATATCTGAATTTCACTAAAGTTATTTTAGAAGTTGTAATTAAACGGAAGTCTAATTCCTGAGACGTTAGCATATTTAAATCGATTGTTCGAAACGTCATCAAAACCACGCGCAACTGCCTCAAACCAAACAATGCAGAGCATTGTAATGACGACTGTTGAATCCTCTCTTGAAAACGCTGAATAAAAGTTTGCAGGCCTCTCCGAAAACAAACTTCCGATTCATTTAAAGCATTTTTAAACTTTGGTGGAATTCACATATCCCAGGGCCATACTGGGCGCTTCCCTTCTCTCTTGCAAGAAGTCAATTAACCTCACATTTCTTCATTTCCGGCCCTTTTCAAATCTTGCAGTTTCCCCTCTTAATTTTAGGCATACTTCCCACTTTTCTTCATTGAAACGTTTTAAAAATCATCTATAATGTCTTCTACAGCTTGTTTTTCTTCAGACTTTGCTTTTTTCTTTTGATAAGAAATACAATACTGGATAAAACCGCCAACAATCAAGACCGCAACTGACATTAAAGCGCCCAAACGGAATGACGGGACTGTACCATATTCGTCAATAAGCACGCCTCCAAGAATAGCACCCAGGCCTCCACCGAGTCCCCAGTAAACGCCTTGGAGTATTCCTGGAAGAAAATTGAAACAAACAGGGCTTGTTCTGATCACTAGATAACAAACAAATGTCGGCAAGGTTGATGCTACAACAAAAATTAATTTCGTAAAGATATGAACATGATCGACCGATAGAGGGGAGTGTTGCAACCCCGTTGTTTTCTCGTTGAAACACTTCTATTAGAGCCGGTTTCCGTAAGTTTTCATTGTTGATTTTTTCAGAGACTGAGTTACAAAAAATCAAAACAAGACTTAGTCATTTCTTTGCCGCCAAGGAAAACAAAGGCGGAAGGAGCCACAGTCGATTGTCCAATCGTCAGCTCAGTTGCTGTTGTCACAAGTTGTAGAAAAGCACTTTTCAGCAATCTTTTAAGGTGGAAATGCGTTTCGTGTAGGCTAAACCAACCGAAAGCCGCGAATTTGAGTCCGTTCGCCAAACAAATGACTTTCGAATAGACTTGCTCGCTCTTAGTTTGTTTTTAATTTTTTTTGTGTGTATTTCAAATAGATCTGGGAAGGGGGGGGGTACTCGCTATAATGGCCTATGTGGAGAGGCTCCACACGAAAGGGGTACCTTTTTGAGGCTTCGGGTATACGAAAGGGTAGGGATTTTATAAGTTGAAGTTGACATTTCAGTCTGTAAAAGGATAAAAAAGCTAACAGATGCATTTTATATTTCATGGATGTAAAAGAGGTCCACGAAAATTTCCTGGTTTACTGAATTTTACTGCAATGTGCATTTACAGTAGTTAAAAGAGAGGCACTGTTGTGAACTAGCATGTGAAAGGGGTATCATCTGTCAATTGAAGATATAAGAAAGGGGTACCTTTTCTTTCAAAAAAGGTATATAAAAGGGTAAGGGGTTGGATCTCGGGGCAGAGCCCCCCCACATAAAACTTTGTTGATTACTCGCCCCCCCCCCCTCCCCCCGATGAAAAATCTTTCTATTGTTCAATTTTTTTCGATCGCTGACACCCTAAGCATGCAGTAAGACACTCGACCCACTCGTAAGCAAACGCTGATAATTCCAGACTTTGGAGGTACACTACACCCTTACTGATGGTACTTTGACTTCGAAAGTACTTTGTACTTTGATTTCGAAAGTAGATTGTGGCTTTTGAGAGGTTATCGCTGATCGCTTAAGAGAGGTGGTCGCACAAGAAGGCTCGACGCACACCAGTCACATACCTTGCATCGTAGCGGCGCCGCCTTTGGGCGTGGCATCAGCTAGATGAGTCACAGCTGTAGACCATGTCGTGCCATAGGTCAATCCTTCTAAGAATTCTAGAGGTAGAGCCCACCAAGGATTCTGAATGATGGAGAAACTTCCGAATAAAATAAAATACGCAGCAACGCTAACCAACATCAAGTTGACGTGCCCACATAACTGTGACAGAAACGCGTTGAAAAGGTACGCTATGATTAACGCCATGGCTCTGAAGATTGTTCCTATGCCCATCAAAGATTTGCTTGCTCCCAAATCCTCTAGATGCCAGTTAAGAAAGTTAAAAAATAATCCATTAGAAAATCCTAGAAAGAATGAAATAGTTATAAAGTAAGCATACCGGAATTTTAGAAGTAGCGTTAGTAACTCTTTTGTGCTGCTTTTTCCATCGCTATCATCGCTTACATCTTCGTACGTAAATTCAAACATCCAAGCGGCAAAGACAAAGGCCAGGGCCATAATAATGGCAAATGAATAAAATAGTATGTTATAATTATTCATAACTCGACCGCAATATTTATATTCTGTCATATCAAGTAGCTCTCCGACTATTAACGAAGCAAACGCAAAGCCTAACGAGCCAAACAGTCTGGTTTTTCCATAATGTCTTCGTTTTTCTCCTAGTTTTTGCAATAGTCCCGTGTCGGCCATGATAAATGTTGGAGCTTCAAGAAATTCTCCTCCAACAACCAGTATTAGAAGATAAATATAAACGCGGTAAATTTCTTTCTGGTCAAAGATGAGTTTGAATTTCTTGGAACTAGAAACTTCATATTCAGAAAGTTGTGTAGAGCTGCCGTGTATGAAAAATGTTCGAAAAGGAGCATTTCCAATGAGTGAGGGCAATTTCTCTTTGACCTTTCTCGGGTTTCTTTGGTGATCAATATCCACACTGATAACGTTATCAATTTGCAGGTCGACACCGCCGCGTCGTGAATGTCTCCCAGTAAATATCGATACATTTTCGTTTGAATTTTCCATCAAATTTTTACAGTATGTGTTGTAAGGTTTAGGAATCAACAACGCCAGGGTCATGACCAACCATGACAAAATAGAAAACAACAAAACGGCCTTCCTTGCTTTATATCTGTCAGCTAACATTGCCCAGAATGGTCCACTTATAAATTGTATCATGGGCCTTATTCCGGCCAATATTCCAACTGAACTGGCATTAAGGCCAATTTGCTTGAAATATAACGCCATATATGGAAAAGAAGCCCCAAATCCAGCGAAAAAAAGGAAATAAAATCCTTTGTAAAGCAACAGCGCCTTATCCACTTGTAATTCTTCACAAAGCAAATCTCTGAAAGACGTTCCTTGCTTGTTAGGTGTATTTTCGAGGGATTTGCTCTCGTCATTTTCCTTCCCTAAATCATCCTGGTCTGTCATTGTTTTAGCACCAAACAGGATAAAACAAAATTGGATTTTCAGTCATTTAAAAGTGACTGAAGTAGTTTTGCATTTGAAGGTGTCTGTCATTTTGGCTTTATGTCATTGGCGTACATTGTTAAGTAGACCAAATGACATACCTGTCGAAAAACCACCCTTAATCCACCAGCACATGAGAAGGGGTGGCTCAGCGGCAGATTATAAAATTAATGTGCCATAATTTGCCAGTAGGCCAGAAAACTTTTTTAGGGCTTCAAAAATTTGTGTAAGTAAGTATAAAAGTAACTTAGTCTATATGTAACCAATCACGATGCAGAGTGTGGTCAACAGACGACCAGACATAACCGTACTACCCTGTCTACTTGGCATTTTAGCGACAGAAGGCACCGGTATCTGTGTGAAGCTTTATGGCGTAGTTAATAAACATGTCAAAATACCAGAGATTAATCTTAAATCCAGAACCGCCTGAGTCAAATTTTTCTTTCCATTTGCAATGAAATAAGTGAAGGAAACAAAATTTGAAGCAAGAGTATTCAGACCTTTTGCCAGAATGACAATTGGTCGTAAATCTGTAAATTTTCTAGAGGTAAATGAAAGGTTCGGGAAAAGATTCATGAAAATGAATTATTGCTTATATATGACTAAGAACTTAAGTTTCAATGTTGAATTTAGAACTAGAAAATAACACACACGGAGAAGAGAAGTTGTGAGTTTTTGACTCGGATGGATATGAAGGATATTTATTTTGTCAAACTATTTTATTTGCATGGAATGTTGTGCATTTAACTCTCCTAGTAGCCGACACCTTTCAGTGCCGGATCGAGCCTTCGAGATAACTGGAGGGGGCGGTCATTCAGACCCTTAAATAAGGGGGACGGGGGTCTGCAATGACTCTTGAACCTCATGGCCTAAACCGCCGTGATGAATTATTGTAATCCATATCCTTAGTATTTTTCCTTCCCAGTTTTTATGTTGTACGTCATTTCCGCCTCTCCCCTTTATTGCGACATTCTCCATCTATATAATATTGTGATTGCTACATAAGTTCAGTAACATCTGTAAACCTGAAGAAGGCTGGTATGGCCAGCCGAAATATTGTTATAAAAAAACAATACACGTTGTTTTAAATCAGCTTTGCTGTAGTCTTTGGACTTCTCGTTCTTGTTCTTCGGGCCTCAGTTTGGTCTAAAAATAAGGGGGGG